TTATTTTTTGTTAATAATTTTCATTTAAAATAAGGGTCGATCTATATCAGATACCACATAAATAAAAGTTTCAAAGCTTATACAAAGTTTTGTAGCCCATTCAATTTTAGTATAATAAAGTGCAAGTTTCAAGTCGCAAAAAATTACCGTTGATTTTTGAGAATTTTTCTTGTGGAGGGTGTTGCTCATTTTCTTCCGTATATGTATATATGTATGTATGTCTAATGTTTTATATTTTTTTATAAAAGCCTTGCACATAGCATAACCACCACCATCATATAAATCCATATTTGAAACTTCGTAAAAGTCAAAATGTCACTTAGCTTAATCAGCTGACCACAAGTGTGTATGTACATATATGTAATTTTATAAAAATTATTCAGTCTTTTATTTACTACATGGTAATTCACAAGAATACCATGATTATTAAAGAACAATTATCGAATTTAATAAACATTAATTAATGAAAAGTAAAAGAACTTCAAGAAACAAGAAACGAAATATAAATAGGGTGTGTTCAGAAATGCATCAAGCCAAAGCATCAAATGCATTTATTTCTAAACTATAATTGATGGAAATGTCCAATATGCGCAACCACAGTTAAATGCCTAATTGGACCCTAGTTGCGTAAATAACACATTTCCATAAATAATAGTTTAGAAATAAATGCGTTTGATGCTTTGGCTTGATGCATTTCTAAACACACCCATACATTTGTGATCAGCTAATTAAGGCAACCAACATTTTGATAAATTTTATGTTTAAGGTTTATTTTTCCATAAAAGTCTATCTCGTTATTATAACAAACACCAATCCACATTTCAGACTTTGTGCAAAAATTATAAGAAATCTGCAAAGTTGCATCTAAATTTTCATATTTTTTTATCAGATTTTTTAGTAATGTTTTGAGTATGGAGTTTTATAGCCCATTAAATGCTAGTATAAATACACACATCTGAAAAATCTGATAAAAAATATGAAAATTTAGATGCAACTTTGCAGATTTCTTATAATTTTTGCACAAAGTCTGAAATGTGGATTGGTGTTTGTTATAATAACGAGATAGACTTTTATGGAAAAATAAACCTTAAACATAAAATTTATCAAAACGTTGCTGGCTGGTCACAAGTGTATCTGTGGAATTTTGGCAAAAACACTTATTTAATTTTATAAAATACCAAATCCGAAAGCTTTAATAATAGCCGCAATTTTGAGTTTTATAAAGTTCTGGACAGCTATGTATTGAAACATCCGGAGCAGGCCCAATCAAAGTTGTGATACTCAACTATGTTTTCAACTATAATTGCGGCAATTATTAAAGCTTTCGGATTTGGAGCCAACAAATTCATTGACCGCCACGCATAGTGATCCGAACCTCTCGTTCGCCTCGTCTTCTACACGACGCCGTTTATTTTTTTTTGCGCTGTTGGACTGCTCCGTGTCGTTTGCCGGAACAGAAGGAAGAGGAGAGCTTACTTCATACTCCTCATAATAAGAGGTTTCGGTCACGTTGCACGGGCTGATGCCGTTTATTTCCTCCTCCTGTGAAGTAAAATCCAGATTGGAAAATGTTCTGAAAATAAATAGACAAACATAGATTAAAACTTAAGTATATATACACATAAGAACATATCGAGTGCTGAGTGGAAGATCGACCTATCTCGGCAGCCAGTTCGAAAACGCCCTACCTCAAAAAACTTTTCAAGAACGCCCTATTTCAGAATTCGTCTCAAAAACGCCCTATCTCAGCTGCCGATTCAAAAACGCCCTATGTCAGCACATTTTCAATACATTTTGAAGTGAGATAGGCCGTTTTTGAACCGAATTCTGAGATAGGGTGTTTTTCAATAAAACTCTGAAATAGGGCGTTCTTGTAAAGTTTTTTGAGATAGGGCGTTTTCGAACTGGCTGTCGAGATAGGTTGATCTTCCATTCAGCAGTCGATATAGGAATTTTCAATTAAAATAGAGTTCTATTTCTAACAAAACCCAAAAACTTTGTAGAAAACCATGATCCAAAAATAAATAAATAAAATATTTAAATAAATAAATAAATAAATAATAATAATAATAACAACATTTAAGTATATGTATCATGGTGGAAAACGACAAAAAATGCAACGAATTTTCACGCAAATTTCAAACTTCTTTCCCAGAATTGTTAGAATTTGTTTGAGTACACAGTTTGATAGCCCTTTAAATTATAGTGCGATAATGGCTGCGTTTCTTTATACATTCCGGATAATCCCATTTCACAGCCGGAATAAACAGAATGAGTTTGAAATATACGTCAACATATCATCAGGAACGTTCTAAAGAATAAATAAACAAAAAAGTTTATTCCAAACATTCCGAATGAATAAAGAAATGCAGCCAATAATAAGCATGAGTGGGAAACAAATATCACTTTGAAATTGGGATGCTATTGGTATGACCGACATTTTATTTTTTTGTTAACTTACTTTCGAGGAGCAACGAAGTCTCGCATAAAATCCATGGCTTCCAAATATTGCCATGTGGCTCCATCTTCGGCACCAGATCCTGACTTCTTCTTCTGTAAGCCTGTCTCCCGGACGAAGCGGTCTCTGAGAGACTTCCACCTTGTTTGGCAGTTAGTCGCTATTGGAAGAATTAAATAAGGTAATTTTTTTATATATTTATATACATATACATATATACAATTACATACCAGGTACTCCCACAGCGCATGCAACGGCATCCCAAGCCTTTTCTTTTAATAATTTATCGTAAAGGCAGCTGTGTGCCCTGACCGCCTCTAGTAACTTCTCCTCCATATTTTCTGTAAATATATAAATATATTGGCCCGTAGTCATAGTCAAAATAAAGTCGACTTTAAAGTTAGTTGCAGCTTTTTGACATAATTTTCAATGGGATATCTGTCAAAAAAGCTGCAACTAACTTTAAAGTCGACTTTATTTTGACTATGACTACGGGCCATTGTAAATATTGAACTTAAATACCAACGTGGGTAAAAGTGCGGCGGATGCATCTCTGCATAGGCGGCCTTTGCGTGAAATTCATCAAAAGAAGGTACGCAAAGTGGAAGTGTTTTTATTTCCGCTTTCGAATTATTGTTATTAGTTGCGTTCTAGATCTGCAGGAAAAGCTGTTTTCTCCATAAATAAACCTTATGAAAGGTGGTCACCTGGAACAGCTTCCTGTAAAAATCTGCAAATCGTGAAGCAACTATTGGCGTCGATGATGATCATCTTTGAGATGAGTTTTGCGCAGGTCCCGCCCAAGTGCACTACTACTCCAACGTGGATTGCATTTTAGAATTTTTACTTACCTTGTTTTAAATTTAATCCGCAATGTTTTTTTTGGGGTATATCTTTAATTCTAATTGATTTCAGCCAAATTTTTACAAAAGCTGGAAAAATGTTGTTCACCCACGCTCAATGAAAATTGTGTATCAGCTGTTTGTCAACGCGCGCAAAAAGTTGAGAGTTGGCCATCTTTCTGCGTTGTGTTGGCGTTGGCGTTGCCCAACTTTGGTTATGTCGAGCCTTTCATATAAATGCATGTATTCATAGTCAGCTGTCGAAGCGACGCCAACGCCAACGCAACGCCAAAGTTGTATGTAAACGGGCCTTAAATGTTGCCACGTCGCAGCAAGCAATGTTGTTTTTTGTTGTAGAAAATGCCCATTCATTAATGAACAAATTAAAAAAAAAGAAGTTTCAAGATCTGAAAGTTTTTTAACTTAAGGTGGTAGAACTAGTAGAAATGTAATTTAGCAAAAAAAAGTGTTATCTATTCCACAAATGTGGTAAAGTCCGAGCACTGGCTGGTGAACCAAACTTCGCTGCTTCGCACACAAGCGCATGTGTGTGATAGTGTGAGTGCCCACCTCTGCCCTAAATCTTAGCATCGCAGCAATTGCCACACACTGGGTTCGTAATTCTTTCAGTGCAGTTTTCGGGTTTGTGTTCACTCATGCATTTACAGCATCGTAGTTTGTTTTTGCAATTATTAGCACTATGATTGAAACCCAAGAACTCTTCACTATCTGTCCGTCATAAACTGGGCAGCGATCCCATCCAATATTCAATCTCTTAGATTCTAGGACCTGCACAAAGACTTTATGCTCTACCTCGATTAATGCATTAAATGATGTTGAAGTCACGCTATTTCTTTTTGGTTTAAAAACTTTTAAACATTTTAAGTTTGCATCAGCCAAGTACATATTTTGTGATTTTATTTTGCTTATGACCTCTGTTTCAGTGTATGCAGCGTTTATACGGGTTATCAGTATTTTTGGCCTGTTCATATTAGGTTCAGAGATCTCATATTGTTCCTTATTAAGATTATTAGCTAGAGTAGATTTAATTTTCTCTTTCTCAGTAACACTGTTGGCATTTATTACAACCGCCCCATTCTCCTTATTAGACACTTTGTCAATTTTCATATTAGTGGCATCGATTTTATTAAGATCCACCCTAGTTTTCTCAGCCGCTTGCTTATTTTTTGGCTTAATTATTATTGGAGGTACACCTTTTACTGCATTAGCATACGATGCACCCACACTACGCTGTAAGTTCTCTTTACTCTGACATGCAGCTTTCTTAACTTCCGCAATAATGTCATCTTTTTGCTTGCATATCTCAGTAGTTGATGCACCTACTCTTGATATTTGATCTTTGTTGGTCTTACACAGACGTTCTACCCTCTTTATTAGTTCTAATTTCTCTTGGTTAGTTTTTTTGATGTTATCCATTGTAATGGCATCGCTAACAATACGGCAGCGCTATTCAGCCGTCGTAATGTTGGTAGCCCTGTCGGAACATACGTTCCACAGGTACATAATATGAATGAAAAACCGAACGTTCAATTCATTCTGATATAGATACTTTAACTGTGAGGTTGCAAGAAATTTAGAACGGCAATAAAAATACAATTAAATAGTAAAAATTAAATCAAAGTTGTTTTTAATTAACATTGTTTAAGCGAATGTAGTTTTCGCGAGTGTAATTTCTAAATTCTAAATATTACGTCCGGCCGAATATCTAGCGGCCACGAGGAGAAGTATACGCGCAACTACCAGCAGATTAGGGGTGCCGCGTATACCGGAGCACCCGGCGTGGAACTACTGCGCGGATTCGACCAGCCATTTGGTACCAGCGGACTCCTGGTAACGACAACAGCTGGAGTTCACTGGGGTAAGCAGTGCACTAAAAATTAAACTGTGTGGTGTGGTAGCGGGCGGTAAGGTGGCGGCACAAAGGGCACGAGATGGCGACCGTGACGGTGAGCATGAGGCAAAATTTTTTTGACAACCTGGACGTCAGGCGTGTCTAGTGGGCTTCGGGCGCGATACAGTGTCGGTGGTGGTGGCGAGCAGAGTTTCTTTGCGGTAGGCAATAACGGGGTGCTGTACAACGTCGCCCGTATAGCG